AGATGGCAAGTAGTAAAAAAACTTCTAATAGCATTGCATAACTTATGCCCAATTATATGCCAAGCTTTTTTATAGAAATCAAACGTATAACCGTCAGGACCAGGCGCAGAGCAAGAAGAACCATTAAACACTACATTTTTAATATCTAAATCAGTAAACGACAGAGTTAAGGATTCAATCACATTCGAGGGAATAATGTTGCCAGCAGGAATGCTGAAAACATTTTCATTAACCGGTCTGGGAGAGTTAAAAATCTCTTTGAAATGCTTAATAATAGCTTCAACAATATCGGCTTTATTATCAAACTTACCCTCAGAGGTGATGATCTCTTTGATGACGTTTAAATTCTTTCTAGATCTAATATGAGCATAAAGAAAACCAAGATCATTTTCCCCATTTCTGAGCCATTTAGTCTTAGCCCTTTGGTATAACCAAGAGGACCACGCTTTGCTAAGAGTATTGAGATTGTCACAGGATTGCTTATACAGAAAATTTAAATTCCTGTTCAACGGGTCTTGCTGCAGATCAGCAATATATTTTTGCTGATTGTTCTTAATATTATCCATAGTATCTAAAAGGTAGCAAGAAGAAGTCCAATTTTTACTCTTAAGAGAGTTCTTAAGAATTTGCAAAGATCTATAGAAAGCAACAATAGAACTACAGTTATAATGCCTATCAAAAGTATCTAAAGCCATCTCCCAAAAACCATCCATATTAATCCAAAAGTTTTTAAACATGAATCTAGACGGGTTTTTATCACAATTGGAAACAACTAAAATTAACGGTGAATGATCAGAATTATGAGTGGGAAGAACTTTATAAAAAGCATCAGGGATTCTCTCAAGCAAAGCATTGTTAGTAAGCATCCTATCTAATTTAATATGAATAGGCGAATCAATTCTCTGATTATACCAAGTGTAAAAAAGACCAACAGATGCTAAATCAAGTAAACCACAGTCAAAAATAACTTTGTTAAGCTCACCCAACTGGCTATTATGGGTATGGTGCCCTCCGGACTTCTCATCATCAGATCTGTAGCAATTAAAATCACCCATAATAACCCAGGCCATAGAGGGATCCGGGACCAGATTTTTTAGCTGATTCCATAAAATATTCCTATCACAAACATTGTTAGCAGCATATATAACAGAAATTAAAACCGGCGATTGAGAACCAACAGTGACAGTACCATGAATGATTTGAGAAGCAATAAAGAGAGGAGAGAAAGTAATAATATTCGGGTTCCATTTAATCCAGATCCTACCTGGATTAGAGTGGCTAAAATTATTAATACTGTCTTCCGTATTAAAAATCATATGTGAATTGACAAACCAAGGGTCATTGATAGACTCATTGTGAACTTTAGCTTCTAAAATGCACAATAAACCGAGATTGTTAGCTCTAACCAGCTCTCTACAAGCTTTAACCTTGTTAGGGTTATTGAAACCCCTAACGTTCCAACATCCAATATGCGGCAAAAACATTAATACTTAGAGTTTTTACCTTTCCTGGCCGACTTAGCTCTAGTAGTCATAGATACCGGAGATGTTTGATTTTTGTTTCCATAAGAGATTTGAGAGGAGGAAACTTCAGTAACTAAATTAAATTCATGCATATTACTTACAGAGCCAGTATCTTCCATCTCTAGGTCCGGAGGATCATCCGTTTGAAGAGCCGAAAATTTGTTTGACAGCATAACCTTAGCTGGAGGAATTTCAGAAGGAATAGAAGGTTGCCCAGAGGAAGAAGTTTCTTCAATAGGAGAATTCAGATTAGGAATGATTGCATCTTTGCCTATGCAATTATTAGGGATCAGGGGAGAAATTTCCTTTTCGGACGCTGGAGTTAATTTTGGAAAGTTATTAACGTTCAAGTTATTGCTTTCCAAAATTACCTTTTCCGGAGAAGTGGGCTTCGCCGGAGCCGAAATTACCTTTTCCGGAGAATTGGGCTTCGCCGGAGCCGAAATTACCTTTTCTGGAGAAATTGGCTTCGCCGGAGCCGGAATTTGGGATCTAGGGTTCCGGCTAAGACTTCTACCTCTGTTTTTGGTTTTAGGAGGAGGAAGAACAACCGGCTCAGGATTCAGATTCGATTTGCAGGAAGCATAACTATGAACCAAAGATCCACAACCTTCGCATCTACTTGGCTTCCAGTCGTAAATAACTTTGAGCATGATATCTTCTCCTTCTATGTTGATGGGAATTTCATCCGGGAGAGACGATTCTTTAGAGATAGCAACACAGACTCTAGCATAGGTTAATCTAGCTCTTTTAGCAGTAAGAAAATCAAAAGATAAGGGATTACCAATATAGCTGGCTATAGTCAAGATTCCCTTTGGGGTCCAAAGGGCCAAGGGGAGATCAACAATTTTTATCCAAAGGGGGATCTCAGAAAGTTCATCCCTCTTCGGTTGGAATTTAGGGGACCATTTTTGTAGAATAAATGGTTTCCCTAACATGAACCACGGTCCTCCAGACCAGACAAGATCAAAATCTTCTTGGTTAGAAAATTTGATCAGGAAAAAACCATCCGTTAACGAGAGAAGGGAAAACGAACCTTTCAGTATCCAAACCTTTTTCATGGCAGCGAGAAGTCGCTCGTAATACGGCCTTGGCCCAAGAGAATATCCGATCAAAGAAAAAATCCATACCGAGATGCCTTCGGAGAGATCTTCTCCTTTAAAAACGAGTTTTTGACTTGGCCGAACAAAGGAGACCGGGAAATCTTCCTTAGATGCAGAAGGATTTGCCAGGTTCTTTGCGAAAGAACCATTCTGAGATGCTGGAATCGGACCCAGGATCGATGTATTTTGAGGAGGGGGAATTCATTGGTCTCCATCAGGGAGAGGATTAACCTCTCCCGATCGGAGGGACGAGGGCGGCGCGGAGAGCAAGGCTGAAAATCCTAGAATCGCCAAAATATCCCAGAGCACCCAGCACCGTCTAAGCTAAAATATTTAGCGAAAATTTTAATTTCTACTAAAAATTTACTACTTATTTAATTAAGTTAAAGTAGATAATTAATTTATGCTATAATTCTAATATTAATTATTTAATTAATTTACATAATTATGAATATTTAAATTATATTAATTAACCGACTAACCGTAAAGACGTCTAGGTTTGCTTTTGGCTTCCTTGTTTCGCAGGAGGTGTACGATTGATTGCACGACTGACTTCTTCGGCTCCTTCGTCGAAGTTATCAGGACGGGAGCTCGCTCGCTGTGAAGGTAATTCGCGCGCTTCTTCGGCCAAATCCCGTAAATCCGCCGAACTACAGGATTTAGTAAATCCGGGATTTACAGCAAAAAGAGGGAAACGGAGGATTTATTCCGCCGGGATCCCGTTTGGCAGGATTGAGGCTAAATCCTGCTCAAATCCGGAGTAAATCTTGTTGCCAAACTGCCCCTTAGAGGCGAGGTTTAGTTGTAGCATATAATATATAGATTCAGAATCAGAAGGTCTAATCGGTCTTTTTTTCTCGTCTGTCTTCCATAAATTCATCGCTTTGATCTCCTTGCCGCCTCGAAGAGTGACTTCTCATCATCCTTTTTCAGGTTATGTTGTGAGGTGCGTTGAAAAATTTATCATCACTAGGATGTTCTGGTTGGGTGACAGTTTGTGGAAATACTACTTAGCTAAGAAGAAGTTTCATAATCCAATAGTTCGGGTACATGGTTCTTGAAATGTAAATTTAGTGGGTTCATTTGGAATGCTAGTTTTGCTAAGATTTCCCTTTGCGTTTTTGAATGAAAGTATCAGTTTTGGCCATTTTAATTGTTATATTCAAAAAAGATGGAAAAAACCAGTTAATTCGGCACAAACGCGCTTGGAAAATAGGGCAAGGGATCTTCAGTTTGACAAGCTAGTTAGGCAGATCAAGAAGTTGAAGTTGATTTTGCGGCTGCATGAGTTGATGTCACAAAGGAGAGCTTCCCACACCTCCGTTCAACTTGTTTCACGATGGAGTAATGTTGTCGGGTTGAATGTGGGAGTCGGTTCATTCATTCAAAAGCACCCTCGTATTTTTGAAGTTTATACTCATCCTGTTAAAAGGAATCTTTGCTGTAGGTATAGCCAAGAGATGTTAGGTTTGATTGCAGAGGAAGCCATGGTTATCAGGGAATCAGAAATGGCTGCTGTGCAACGTTTGAAGAAGCTTCTTATGATGTCAAGGACTGGTAGGCTAAATGCCCATGCATTATGGCTTGTCAGAACAGAATTTGGTCTACCTGACGATTTCAGGGCTTCTATTATCAATAAGTATCCTGAAACCTTCAGATTAGTGCTTCCAGATTCGGTAGAATTAGTTGACCAAGATGATAGTTTGCCTGCTGCAGAGGTTGAGAAATGGAGGGAGAGCGAGTACAAGGAAAAATGGCTCAGTGAATACGAGACCAGGTATGCTTTCCCAATTCAGATTCCAACAGGTTTTAAGATTGAGAAAGGCTACAGAGAAAAGCTTAAAACTTGGCAAAGATTGCCTTATCTTAAGCCTTACAATCCGAGTGAAGCCAATTGTATTCGCACTTCTGGTGGAATAGAGCGCTTCGAGAAACGTGCTGTTGGTATTCTTCATGAATTTTTAAGCTTGACTGTAGATAATATGGTTGATATTGAAAGATTGTCTCATTTCAGAAGGGATTTCAATATGACTGCTAATCTTAGAGAGCTTCTTCTCAAACATCCTGGGATTTTCTACATTTCAACAAAAGGAAACTCACTGACCGTTTTCCTTAGAGAAAAATATGCCAAAGGTTGTTTACTCGAACCTAATCCCGTATATTTAGTTCGTCGAAAAATGTTGGACCTTGTTTTGTTACAGTGCAGATTTACCAATAAGGAGCAGCCTTTGGAGGAGCTGAACTTGTGACTATTTGGCAGGTGAGCCATTGCTTGAACTACATTGAATCAATAGATCTTAGGATATTCTGTAAATTTCAGCTGCTGGATTCCTTTATAGGTGTGACTAATTAATTTGTTTTAGCTTTGAACAGTGGTTGGGGATGAGTGATGGAGTAATAATTTTTTGAATTCCTAAATGATAAATTGCCTTTTTAAGTTCTTTTTAAAATAGTAGGATTATGTTTCCAAGGAATGCTGAAATCACTTAGCCATTGTTCATAAGCACTCTTTTTGTTATAGAATTAACATAAATATTATGGGTTGCTCCGCAAAGGTTAATTGTATCACTTCTTTTTTTAAATCTTTATCTTTGTGGTCCTGTTAGAAAAGTAGATATATTAGATTCGGCCTATATTAAGAAAGATAGAGGTAGACTTAAAAAGATTTGATTAGAAAGTATTAAAAATGATATTTTTTAATAGATATAAATGAGAATGTGACTCTTAATTATACATTATAGAAAAAAAAAAGAGTTCATATAGCCGGACGCCTTATAGTGCGATAAATTTTGATGTTGTTGTATTAAATCTTTGTCTTTCATCGTAGTATGTAAGTTTAGAAGAACTTGATTTTCAATCTTATAATTTTTATGGCACCAACCTAGATGCTTTGATTTGTGTGAACTATATAATCATGACCTTGAAGATTTGATGTTGTACAGGATTCTTTGATCAAATGACACTTTTAATCATTAGTACAAACAAAGGCAACATTAAAAGGCAACATGAAAATTGATAACAATATAACACCATCAAGTAAGACTTCATTTGGGACAGCTTCATTATTGTTTTCTAGTAGAAAATATTTTAGTACTAAAAACTGTTTTAGACATCATTAAAGAAGTTGTTCCAAACAAAACTAAAAATTTCAATTTATTTATTAAAAAGACCTTTTATACACAAATATTTAGTTTGAAAAAGTTCTTTCCAATAAATATATGGTCATGTAAGGTATTTTTCTAGTGGATAAAGGCAAAGTAAGATCTTACTTGTCTGCACTTGCCTCAAATGCCTCATACATTAATTGAAAGATTCTTTAAATAAACATGGAAATGTTCTTTCATGAATATAAGGTCAAGGCCCTCATAAACTTGAATATTCTATTGAGAATATAACCAAAATATTGAATAAAAAAATATAACAAGTTCCCTCAATTGTAGGATACATGCAAATTGCAAATGATGATTACATAGGTCACTTACATTATTTTGGTAGATCAGTATATCAATTATGTTGAGCTTGTTCAGCCTTGTTGAATATATCTTTTATCGCATGCAATTCATTAGAAGCTTCTCCTATTTGTATGCATTCGAGTGGCGATTCTTTAGAGCAAAGAAGACCAATATTGAGCATAGAAATTATGCACTCCAATTCATGTTTTCTTATATTGTTGATGTGCTGAATCTCATTACCTACCTCTTCTCATCTCATTGCAGTGAAAACATCTCTGGACCAATAATACTCATAACTTGTTCAGGTAAGGTCGTTTGAACATATTTTTGAATGCTATGTCTTATTCCAGTAACTATCTCAAGTAAAAGTATTCCAAAACTATATACATCTCCTGTAGTAGAAACTTCATTGGCCATCCCATATTCTAGGAAATAAATTGCATGTAGATTTTAATATATTATTATGCATAGAAGACACTGTCATAATACTTAGAGAATCAACAAATTATTATCATTTTTTTTTATAAGCTAAGAACAACTAAGAAGGATTCCAATTTCTTCAGGAATAGTGCGTTGAAGAAGATTGTCTTATAAGGAAAGTATTTGGAGATTTTTGAGCCTACAAATGCTTGGAGGAATGCTTCAGTGATTTGATTATTGCCAATAGTTACAATTTGAAGCCCAGAAGATAATTTGAAGGGATCTCTCCATGAAATGAGTTGTTCATCAAACTTATAGTTTGGAGGAAACATTTTGAAAGAGTGTGAGGGATCAAACCTTCTAATAGATTGAAACATAGATTCAAATGTTGGAGATTGGAGAGCGTGCCAAACTCTTTAGGGATGTGACCATAGAGTAGATTTTTTTCGGAAGATTAAGGATTTATTTGGGACGGTTTTTTAACTGCTTCTTAAAGCAATTTTTTTGTAAAAAATTAAAATGTTTATATTATAAAGTTATTTTAAGAAGCAGTAATAAAGCTATCCAAAACGAAGCCAAAGTCTTCGGAGAAAAGTGAGATTACCAATTGAGGAAGAGGAGGAAAACACATACCTTGTGAAAATGGCCAAAATAGCAAAGCCATCTCAAGCAGTGTAAAGAAACTAATCAAAGACTGAAATGGAAGTGTATGAAGTAGGAGATTATTTCATGTGGATATCAGACAGGAGATCAATCACAATGTGCCATATCATCCGATACACAGCAGTGATGTAGCAAAGCTCGTTGCTTATCCGTCGTGAAAATATATGTATATATATTCTTTTTTATCTGAACATAGGACCTGCTATAATTAAATAAATAAAATTTTTCCCTAAGAGCCACTTCCGTGCGCATTGCATGAAAGAATAAATAAATTAATTAATAGTCTCCAAATATTGAAAAATATTTTTGTTTAAATGGTACGTTTTTTGAAAAATATAAATATTCTCAAATATTTTTTTCTGCAATTATTCTGTTAGAATTTTTAAAATAATTCATTTTTGATGGAGATACCTGCGGAAGCATTTTGTTTTCGTAAAAATTTCCGGTAAATTAATATAATAGAAGAATTTTTTTTATAGAATTTTCGAAAGATAAATTAATTAGATATCAGATTTTGAAATAAAAAATTTAATAAAATAAATATTATGAGTATTGATTTTTTTTAGAACGGAATATCCTCTCATTATTATCTAGAAAGTGCGTTTGATGGGGGTGACTAAGGTTTAGTTTGAGATAGTTTTTTTCTGATTTCTAAAACGATTTTTTAGTAAAAAAAATTTTAAGTTATAAATTTTTTTTTTTATTAAAAAATTATTTTATAAAGCAACAAAAAAAACTATCTCAAATGAAACTTAGGTTTTGTTTGGGACAGTTTTTTTATTGTTTTTTAAAATAGAGTTTTAGTAAAAAATAAAAATATTTGTACTAAAATTCCGTTTTAGAAAGCAGTCCCACACGAAGCCTTATTCTTATTTTGTAATTGTTGCCTTGACTCGGCTGTCATGTCATGCCTGCCAAGGTAGACTATGGGCCTGTTTGATTTACCGTAATTTTGCCGTTTTCAGTTTGGATCGGTGAAAATTTTATAATTTAACTGTTTGTTTAGACGGCGTTTTAAAACTTTCGTTTGCCACACCGCCCTTTTTTCGCCAATTTGAGATGGATAAAAAATCTGCTTCTCCGTTCTAACATCTCCGTTTAAAAACGAAAAAAAGTCGGTGGGAGCCAAACGAGGCCTATATGTTTATCAAGAGTGCTGGAACTTTGGTCAGTTTTTGAACAACTTTTCGTTGGGCAGATAAAATAAAGCAACAATTAATATCGGCATTAATATGTGTACATTTTTAATAAGCCAAATTCAATGCATTTCCTCTCCTAATTGGAAAGATCGCTAACTAAATCATCTTAGGCTACTCTATTCAATCTTATCTATTATTGGAGCTATTTCAACTTTTTCGTGTATATGCTCATTTTGAATTATGTCTCTAAGAGTAAAGCAACTCAACCACTTGAGCTCCTCATTTCTGCAACACAACTTAATATTTGCTTCTCCTTTAATGGCCAATTTTCTGTCATAAAGCATTGTAAGACTCACCAACCCTCTTATAGAATTTTTCCTAAAGTTTAAAGGGTGCTTTTCTATCCCACACAAAACCCAATGCATTATTCTACTTCAACCATCTAAGGTGTGAATTCGACTAATAATATTCGCATCTATTACTATTAAAATTACAATCTTTGTATTAAATTTTAAATCTACTCAAACGAAAACCTATAAACTATAAGTTGACATCCATAACTTATATATATATA